CAGTGTACTTCGTTGATCTGCCTGTTCTGCTCCCCACTCTGTCCAAAAAAAAAAAAAAAACAAGAACAAAAACCCCGCTCAGTAGCCTCTGGAGAATCCCTTGCACGAGCCTCTTCTCTCTTGCTGCTCTCAAGATTCTCTGGCTTTAGCCTGCTTGTATTGTCTGTGGGTCCTCGAGTTTCTTGGACATTTTATTCATGTCTTTCGTGGGGCTCAGGACATTTTGGATTATTGTTTTTCTAACCTCTCAGTCCTTTTCACTTCTCTCGAGGTAGCCGCGATCTGTATATTGGTAAGTTTGATGGTGTTCCACGGGCTGGGAAGACTCTCACTTTCATCAGTATTTCTTCTATTGGACTTTTTTGTTCATTTAAATTATCCTATCTTCAAAATCCTTTGGCTTGCTGAAATATGCTGGGGTATCTTTAGTGAAATAATTTCCATTATTGTAGTTTCTAGCTTTAGAAATCATTTTGTTTCCTTTTCCCTATTATTTCTATTTGACTCACATCATTTCCTTGATTTTTTTCTGTGAGTTCCTTGGGTATCTTTAGGAAATTTATTTTAAATGTTGTCTAGATGTCATCTGTCTGGCCTTAGGGACTTGCCAGGAGAGGTCTGACCACCATGTGGTCTCCTCCGGGACTGCAGCTGGCTGTGATCAAACTCATGCGGGAGTGGCTTTAGCTTCTCAGTGCTGCGCTATAACCGGCTGCGCCAATGGTGCAGGCGGTGAGAGGATTCACTACACTGTGGGAAACTGAACAGGCGGTGAGGAAGTAGTGGGCGGGCCAGGAGAGGTCTGACCGCCATGTGGTCCCCTCCGGGACTGCAGCTGGCTTGCAGTGCTGCGTCCTAACCGGTTGTGCCACCTGGGAGGGCCCTTTCAGGAACTATTTCTGTTAGTTTACCCCCCTCTCCCCCTTCTGAATAGGTCGTTGACTGGTCTGATTTCTAATTGACGAGTGGGCATTTGAAACTAGTCGTGTAGCTCTGACGGTCAGACTGCGCCTTCCCCTGGGGCCTGTTGTTTAGCTGTGGGTTAGCGCTGTGCCAAGCATCAAGCCTGAGGAGTATTTGAAACCTTTGACCTTTTCACGCACCTCTCCCTTTCCTTGGGTAAGCATGGCCTTAAGGATCCCCAAAGTCCCGGCACATTTACTGTAGTGTCCTGGGCTTTAATATCCCCAAAAGAGGGAAAAAATGGAGGACAAACAGGTGCTGACTCCTCTAACCCCCAGGATCACTCCTCGCTTGGGGGGGCCTGTCCCAGCTTGGGCGCGTGCAGTGATCGCCACCCGCCTCTGGGCCGCGCCTGCTACCAGCAGTGGTCTTCAGAATCAGGACACAAGTCCTGATGTTTGAGCTCAAAGTCCCTGTTCCCAAAAGCTGAGCGCAAGCCCTCCGGGAACAGACTCAGGGCCCGTCATGGGGATCAGCAGCAGCTAGTAAGCTGCAAGCTGAAGTTGACGTAAAGTCACACTCATCATTCTCCAAGACCTGTCTGGAAACTGGAAGGTTCCAGTACACTCCAGAGTTCCCCAATAGGTACCTCAAATTCTGCCAGTGCAACCGTAGTCTAGCTGGGGAGATTCCTGGTGCTGCTTCCTCTGTCATCTTTCCAGAATCACTGGCGCGAGGCTGCTGGGTCACCTCACCGTGCTCCCGGCGGTGGAGCCACCTTTCAGCAAGGGGACTGGTACCAGAGGGTTGAAGTGACTCGCTACGGTCACCCAACTCCCACATGACTAGGACTGTGGCCCTGGGGAGCAAGACGGCAGGAGCTGGCCAGGTGGCCACAGCCCCTTGCCGCTGTCCCGCGGCCCACGGCCACCACAGCAAACGTACCCTCTAGTCCCCAAGAGTCTTGGGTAATGGGCACCCGGGGGAAGATGGTCCAGGAAGGGAGAGCAGGTGGTGTGTGGGGGGAGGGGGCTTGGCTCGTGCGGCCTCCCCAGTCAGAGGGAAAGGAGGCCATTCTGAAGCCCGGGCTCCACCCAGCCAGGACGACAGCACAGGCTGGGCCCAGCCACGAGCTGGCCCAGGCCCCGAAGCCGCCCCAAGATCGATCGACCTATAAGAGTCCAGCTGAGAGGCCTTCCCTGTTCCGGCTGTCTACCCACAGGGTGCAGTTGTGGGGAATTCACACACAGAACCCCTGAGGCCAAAGGGGATACACAGGGTGCGCAGGGAGGGGGTATCGCTTCGTTGAGGTTGCAGAAATTTTGTGTCATGCTTTATTACACCAATAGCTTGAAAATTTTTATTTAACTTCAGCAAATATTGTTAATAGAAAAATGAATTCTGCAGAATTTCACAAATAAATTTTCCAATCTCCACTCACAGGTCGTGGATGGCTAAGCAGCTGCGGCGCTATGGACATCACCGTGCGCGCAAAGCGGGAGGCAGGTGGAGACGTTAGAGCACAACCGCGTCCCGACAACGCGTTTTCCTTAAAATTCCAACGTGGACTTTTATCACTTCAAAAGATAGACAGCATTTCCGTTATATTTGCAAACTTAACCTTATACATCTTTTAAAATTTTGAAAAACTTTTAAGCAATCTAAAAAGCACTTAGCAGAGCGGTAGCTGCACACCACGGACGGCGCCGCTGGGCAGGGCGGTGCTGTGCGCTGCTCGGCCGGGCTCCCCGTCGCCTCGCGCCGCCTTGCCCGCGGCGTGAGAAGTCTGAGTCCTGGGTCGTGAGGCTGAGAAGTGGGCTCGGCCGGGAGAGCGCCCCGCAGCGTCCGGAGCGGGGCAGGGCTCCTCGGCGGGCGGGAGCGGCACCCAGAGCAGCTGGACCAGAAGACAGGAGCGGGGCGTGGCCGGGCTCGCGGGGCAGAGCCCGAGTGCGGCGCTGAGCGGCCCTCGCCCCTCGGACAGCTGCCCGCCCTCTGCGGCGCGCTCGGCGGCCTTTCCGTTTGCATTTTTTGATTAGAGGCTTGTGACCACCGGCGGGTCTCAGAGGCTAAAAACTACCCTGCACCACGGCCGAGGGACGGGCTCGGCAGACACAGCCGGCCGCCCACACGGCCCCGTGCATTCAAGTAACGGGGGTCAAAGGTGTAAGTGGGGTCACCCGCACACGCCACACGGAATTAAATAAACAAACTCTTAATGCATACGCAAACACAATTTATGTCTCTTAGGGTTTCTAAACTAAAAGTTAGACTACCATTTGCTTCAAGGGTACTATATTTTGCACAATAACTTATGAGAAAAATTTCACAAAAATATATATAATTACGACATTCACATTGATGACTTTGAAGACAAAGCTGAAGTGAGCACCACACCCGAAGCCGCAGCCCCATGTACCCAACCCCCAAACATGGCCGCGGCCGCCCAAGTCTTGATATGTGAAAAGGGGTCTGCACTGAGACAGGACCACTTGGCTTTTGAAGCAAAGC